GTCTCCCCAGAGGCAATCTTTGCTCTGGTGTCGTGGGTAGCCCTCTCAGGGGCAGCTTTTCCTCCTCAATATGTTCTCTGACTTGTGTGATCAGTTTGATGGGGCTCCCAGAACCTTCCCACCACTGCTGGTCTGCACAGCAGGCAAGCTGGTGTCCCTGGGAGTGGGCAGATTGACGCAGAGCTGATGCCTCTTTCTGAAAGTCTTTTTGAGGTATTTCATGCCCTCCCTCAGCCAGGCTGCACTGGCAAAGCCTGCATTGTCAGCGTAGCACAGGGGACAGACACAGATATGACCTGAAATGGAAGACCCAGAATAAAGCACAGCTTACAGCTCAGTTCAACAACGAGGACATCCCCCCTGCCTGTCGCATTCCTGACCGGGGCTGCAATAGAGAATTTTGTTGCTTGTCCGTTTGAATATTGTGAGGTTAGATGTTTTCTTGGTATACGTGATGTATGAAAAAAGCACAGCACAAACTTGGCAACACAGTTGTGCTTTTCCCCCTGTTTTTTGAGTTAGTAACTGCCAAAGTGCTATGACTACAATATTTTTTTAAAGTAGTAACATCTCCCCTGTTTAAGTGATGCCATTTTCCTTCATGGTTTATCCTGTCCACTCCTCTGGGCGTGAGTCTTAATTTTAAGCATTAAACAAAATTCTACACTTTGCGTATGAACAAGAAAGTCACATAATGGCCCCTCCTTCTAGCCCCAGTTGCAGTGACCATCTGGAGACTTCCCTGTTCAACTTTGGATGAACTTCAGCTGAAGTACGAGAGCCAGTTTGGCTCTATACAAGCTGTTCCGAGCCTCATGGTTGCTATTAGCAGTTTGTCTTAGTGACAAGGCTGCATTTTGCCTATTGAAGGTTTGGTTTTAGTGATTCAGCGTGTTTCCATTGTTCGCAACTGAGAGGAGATCATTCAGGCTCTTATGTTTCCAGTGCTGTGGATACAAAGCAAAAAGGCAGCTCTTGTTCACAATAGCTTATTATCCTGGGGTGGGTTTTTTGTTGTTTTTATAGGGGGTTTTGGATGGATGCACAATAGATGCAAGCTCTTTTGAGGGGCAGTTCTTTTCTTGATATCCTTGCACAGTGTTTATCGCAACGGGGCTCTGTTTGCTTGTAGCCTTCCAGGCAAGCCCGTTATGGAACAGAGTGAGTACCAAAACCCCAAGTTTTTGTTAAGGGTGGCTGCAGCTCCTCAGCCCATTTCTAGCTGTTGTCAATAGGCGGTGCATCGTCACGATTCATCAGGGCAGAGGTGAGACTTACAGAGGCCACACAGGAGAAGCTGGATTTTATTGTCCTCTAAGTCCATTGGCAGCAACAGCTTGGAAAATGATTGCAATGAGGGTAAAGTTACGGCGATAAGTAAAGTTATTCAAAGGACACATTCTTTGTTTCTGATGACATGAAAGCTGGGAGCTACTGTCAAAACAGAAGAGTGGGACTCCACAGGAAAAACTGGAAAACACCGATAATTTGAATAGCAGTAACGAGGAGGGCAGGGTCATGAACCTAGAGGCTTAATAATGAGCTTTCAGCTCATACCAGAAATGCTTATCCATTGAAAGCAGTGGAGGCAGAGAAAGCCCCGAGTGCACTGGTTAATCATAAATTGGCTTTGAGCTACCGGTGTGGTGTAATGTGGCTGAGTAAAAGAAAAGTGCAATTCCAGAGCGTTCTGGGGAGGAATTTTTCAGGAGTGGTAGGGAAATATTAATGCTGTTGTGCTTTTCATACTGAAAAGTAACAAACTTAGATAAACCTTTTTTGCCCCTCTGACTTATTTATTTCTCTGTCCTCTCTGGTGGCATTGTGGATACCAGTTTACCATGACGTATGACTGCCATAGAACCGTTCCAGTGATTTTTAAACAGGCTGTGGCTCACCTCTTCACCTTTTTTCAGTCGCCCATCTCCTGCATCTGAGTCCAGCGGTATTGCAGCTTTTCAGACAGATTAATTCCTAGGTGAATCATAAAAGCAATGACGAAGTGACTAGCACTATGTGAGAGGAAGCTACAATGAAGTCATGGTAACCATTAAGTGCCCGACACTTGAAAACTGAGAAATGGAGGAATAGGGAAGTAGCAGCAGTCAGGTTAAAATTTGCTTTGAATTACTCCTTATTGTGAGTCTGTTAAGGAGTGTAAGGGAAAAAAACATACATGGAACCCACATAAAGTGCAACATCAAATTGCAGTTGTACTTAAAAACATCTTGCAACAAAGGCTGTTAAATTTTTTTCTTCTTAAAATTAACTTTTCCGCTATACAATGTCCCTACAGTTTCTCTTTACCCGAAGAAAAAAATGTCACCCCCCCAAACATTTAAGCAGATTGGTCGTTTGCTAAAGCTCTAGCTTTTGCTTCCTTCCTGGAATTATTTGGGCTGCGTGCTAAGGTTACGTCTGTCCCCTGCTGTGGCTATGCTGCAAGGCCATACAACTTTCAACTCTATCATTTCAGCAAATTGCTTCTCAAGGCAGCTGTACAAAACGTCTGTAGAGGCAGGGGTTTTCCCTTTTTTTTTTTTTTTTGACCCCCAGACCTTTCTGCTCCCTGAAATTCCTCTACTTCTGTAACAAGGGGTTTTGAGAGTCTAATTATGCATCATAGAAACTTTACTGTTTATAACTCTGGAGCCATGACTTGGCACTGGTAGCCACTGAGCAAAGCTCTGCTCAGGAATACCCCTCACAACCACTATACCTACAGGTAAGCCTGGGTGTTAACTTCAGGAACTGCAGAGGGGCCCAGAGTCAACGAAATGGTTTTCTAATACAAAGACAGCAAAAGTCTCTTAGATATCCTCTTGCAAAACTTGAGGAATTCTAGCTTACATCCCAAAGCTGATTGACCACACTGGTCCCCAAGCTCTCGCCCCCGGCTTGGTGAAATTCCAGCCTTAGATAGGGGAGCGTAGAAAATGCATCAGGTATCTGGCCCCCAAAAATGCCAAAGAGCTGGGAGTGGGAGAAAAGCAGAAACTTTGTTGGGGCTGCCTTGAACCTCATAGTCCAGAAATTTAAGTATCTACCCAGGAGTTTTGTTTTCAAGTCTTTCCAACCTTTAATTCAAAGATGGGTCTCAACTATGAACATAAAGTTATAAATGCCATGCTATTCAGAATCGCAGAATGGATGCCTGCTTGTCTGGTTTGTACCTTCGCTGCTGTGTATTTCACTACATATTTATTCTACCCTCAGAAATCTACCATCAGAAGGAACTCTGAAGGACCAGTGTCAGAACACCCAATTTCTCTGATCATCTGCATGTTCATTTAGAGGATGCTGGAGACTGGAATCAGAGCCCTGCTTTCAAAAAAACCCCAGTAGTGCAGGTGTAAGAACAGTTCCCCATCACCCACCCCTCCTCTAACTGCTTGGGAAACATGGAGTGGTGACCTTTGCCTTGATGCAGTTTTTCCATCAGATTTCTCTTAACCTCAGGGGAAGTTTTAAGAGAAAGACTGCCAAGCCCAAGCAGGGATTTTCCTGTGGTACAGAAGTCAGCCCAGAATTAACTTCTGAGGGAGACCCCAATTCTCTGCTTGTTCTCCTCTGTAACACTCTGAGGCTCTTCATGTCCCTCCAGGAATGTTCTCCACAGACAGGATTTTATTTCAAACTCTGGGCAAAAGACACTGACCTTTACTTTTAGAAACAGCAAGTGGTAAGTCTGGGTTTGAGAAGTGACTGCGAATCAAAGAGCAGGTATTCCAAGTATATATCCAGGTATTCCAACTTGGATAATGGATAGCCTCAATGAGAGCTCTGGTCAGCAAGCTGCTATAAAACAAAATGTGCACAGCATGATTAGATGTGACAGCATGATTAGAGCATACCTAAACTACTGAACAAGACAACAGCAAAAATAGTCTGTTGGGACTCCCAATTCACCACTGCCCGCTAACAGAAAAGGCAAGTTCCTTGAAGACCGTTCTGTGAAAAGAAGCCAGGTAGCATTGAGACTAGAAACAAGCTATGCCTTGTTATTTTAATATTGAAATTAAAAATTTAATTTTACTTTTAAAATTTTAATCGTGGGATTTTTAATCATGTACCATTTTCATCGTCAGAAAGGTATCAGAATAGCTCCCTTTGGGGTGTGGAAAATTTACCAATTCATTTGCTATTTTTAGAAATAAGGTGATTTTTTCATATAGGTGATGGTATGGTCTAAGACAAGATGTAATTCAGGAAGAATCTGTATGTTACCATATCACACTAAATCTCAGTCATTTCCTTACCCTACACTTTTTACATCTGTGCAAGCTGTAAACTATGACTGAAAGTATATCTGATGCAAAACCCAATCTACCAACTTATTCTTCATACTTTCTCAACTTTCAAAAAATGGAAACTACAACATTCACAACAGGTTAGTTGTTGTTTACTAGGTCCTCCAGCTTACCAAGATTATGGTTTGTAAATTTGTTTCAAATTACTGTTGTGTTGAATGGCCGTCCAGGAAGGAATATGTGATATTACTCTTACAAAGAGTTACACTGAAGAAGAAAATTTCTTTCTTGGTAAGCATTAATTGTAGGTGCTGATTATAAAGAACGTTAATAAAGGAAGAAGGAAGTAACAACTGAAGGCCTAGTAGGTGTCTTTCCCCAACAGAAAACTGTAATTCATTATTCTTACAATGAATGTAACCAGAGTAGTCTGTATGATTTGTAAACCTGGAAGTTATTTCACCTCTTATGAGTTTGCTAGAAATGATTTTATTTATTATTGTTTAAAACGAATTATCTATATGTTATTCTCTTCTTTATTTTTGTATTTACATGTTGGTGAACGGATCCTTGATACCTTTGTTCCACTAGAGCTTGTCTGGCTGTTCCATTACAAAAGTCTACGATCTAGAAGGAAACCAACCCTTTGGCAACAATGGAAGTCTCACAGGAAAGTTCAGGTTAGTTCTTCAATGGGCCAGATATCTTAACACACCTTCTGGGGATGGAAAAAAAGCAGTTCCACAGGCATAAGATACATAATTCAACCTGGTGTTTTTAATATCAGTTAGAAATGGTTCTTAATAACAGACACATTTACTTAATGATTCACTTTGCCTTAATTACATAGTAACAAGCTGTGATGATTCCATCCTGCATTACTGTGTATGGTGATCTTAAAATGGATTATTTCTGCAAAAAAGAATTGACTGCAGGAATACATTTTCAGACCATCTCCACAGTCTTCTTGCGTTAGATGACTATCAAGTCCTGTGTTATGAAAAAGAAGCAGATTTCTGATGCTGAAAGACATCATGGTCATGCCTCCTCATTTCTTCTAGCTGAATCATTGGGAATTTTACTTGTTTTTCAAACCATTTGGCTACAGTGAGAAGCTGCTTCTCCTGGAAAGAACGTCCAATGAACTGAAGCCCAACTGGCAAGCCTCTCTCTGAAAGAGCTGTAGGAACATTTATGGCTGGCAGTCCTGAAAGAAAAAAACAAAACAAATAAAAAAAAAAACCCATAGGCAAACACTATTAAAGAAATTCAGTTGAAGTAATTTTTGTAACAGTTCTACTCTTAGAATTGTTTTTATGTAGTTCAGTCAATGAACTAAGGATACTGTTAGGTGGTCACAAGAAATGAATTAGTGTGATTTAAGGAATCTGCATCCTCTGAAAAGAGAATCAACTCTCATAAGAAAGATTTTGGTCTCTGGATCTTGAATGGATTCTTCTTATCTGCAGCCCCTACCCAGCTCCAAAGGTGCCTCATTTTAAAATCTGTTCTTACATTTTAAAGGATTTAATAAATAAGCTATCCTTATACCTGGTTATCACTGTAAGAATTACAGCAGAGGCAAAATATCTTGATTCTAAAGAAGAGGTTAAATAGCTGAGGGGAATGGACATTAAAAATGACTAGGCAGGGGAAAACGTAGTTGAATTCCTGTCCCTACTCACCAGCCATGTTTGCAGCCTGTGTCAGGATGTCATCTTGTGCGCTGCGGGTTCTGTTGTCTTCTTTGATGAATTCCATATATGGTACTGCATCACTCAGAGTGGTAGGAGTGAGTAAAATATCAACACCGCTCCCAAAAACCTTCATAAAGTCATTGACAATGAGACGTCTGACTTTCTGGGCCTTGATAAAGTAATTCTCATAGTTCCTAGAAAGAAATATGCACATGAGGGCCTGACACTAATTCCAAAAACACAGAACTTTATTTCTTAGTCACTGTGAAAAAAGACAAGGCCAGTATTCCTTCTGGTTAAAAGACTAACACTGGTATTTGAGTTTTTTATATAGCAGAAGCTTAGTCATCAAACATGGCGTTTATGCTCTTATAGCAATGAAGCTGTCAGAAAAGGAAGAGATGAGGGCATACTGCTGAAAAAAGGTGAAGGGAAAACAAAACTCTATAACAATTAACTAAAAATCAAAACAACACTTTTATGACCTTTCTGAAAACTAAACTATGTATTGAATTTCACTGCAGGGCAACAGTGAAGCCTAGAAACAATACAGAACTAAGCAGGCCTGGAAAACTGGCATTTATCATTTAGGACTCAATCCAGCAAGATACTTAAAGCAAGTGAAAAAGTCCCATCATCTATGGAGGACTCCATGTGGTCTGTGGATTTCTAAACTGTCTCTACACAGTTCTGAAGCAGAAACAAATTAGTCAGCTTTATGTCTACAGTTCCTTTTAATTTCATATGCAGAACTGGTAAATGTGGAATCCTTAAATTCAATTCAGTTTCAAAAGCAACTGCCATCTAAACCCACTGCTATTCTAAAGCAAAAACAAAAAAAAGAGGCGGGGGGGAGGAGGGTACTAACAACTGCTACATGCCAGAATGTCTGTAGCTAAAACAAATGAAACTGCCCAAAAGCCACTCTGTTAATCTCAAGATTTATGTTTCTGAAAAACTGCAATGAAAATCAATGTCTATTCAAGTTAAGAAGTTACATCATGGGAATCTTTTTTTTTTTTTTCTACAAACATTTCTGAAATCATCCTAGCTGTTAACTTCAGAAAAACCATAAAAGGAACTAAAAGGACCTCAAACAATATTTTAAGCTGGAAAGACTATTTTGGGTTTTAAAAAAAGTGAAAAAATACTGTTAAATCAAACACATACTTTCTGTTAATTCTGATACAATGCTGACAAGCTTCCATTGCTTCTTGAACCTAATTATTTTACAGATTTCAAAAGCAAGATAAAAATAACATGTAAGATGCAACATTTTCAGGAGACACAGATGTTGTTTCTCTATATTCTAAGAATGCTTTCTGAGCACTGGGTTCTGATCTTCAAAAGTAATTTACTGCGGACAGGGACAGGACTCTCCTGCTCAACCTTGATGGAAGCCAATTGAATATTCCTTCACAGAAGAGTGAACTACATGAATTTTAAAGCAGCCTTAGGAAAGCTGATCTGGACAGTTGTAACCAGAAGGAGCACTCTTGGCAGCAACGTAGGCATTCCATAAAAGCTGCTTGTTACATACTGACTGACAACATTCCTGTCTCTGAGAACAACTAGAAGCTGCATCTGATGAATACTCTTGCTGACAGAGCTCTTTCTGCAGCGCACTTGCTTTGGGACTGATTACACGACTAATATTTCTTTTAGTATCTGGACAAGACAGAGAAAACCAGCAGTTTTACTAACATAAACTGGGACTGTTGGATAAGGAATCATATTGATCCATTTACCAGCTTCTCTACGTGAGCTTGTTTTTTCCTGTCTTCTGTAAAGACATCAGTTCGGTACATTTGCCAGGGCCTTCCTTTCCCTGCATGCTGAGGCAAGGAGCTTTAGTTAATTTAATTGACTTTCTCTAGAAGACCTCACTAGAATGTACCAGAGGTTTTTCTATGCAGTTTTAACAAGATTAACAGCTACAGAACTTTTAACACTACCTCAGTTCAATAGGATTTCAATGTGACACCATAGGATAGATTTTTGCTTAATTTAACTAATAGATGCCAATAATACTCTGGTAGGGGAGAAAAAAAAATAAGTATCACTAAGTTGTTTTACTTATTTAATTCAGGAGGCTCACTGGTAAGACTAAGGGAAAACATTTTCATTCATATATAGCTAAAGCAATAATAATAATATAAGTAGCTCCAAGTATAAGGACATTTTTTTTTTCATGTCATGACAATTAATCACCATTTGCCTAAAAAATTGATAACTTAGCAAATTTGAGTTTCAAGATCTTCCGCTTACTGTTTCAACAAGAAATAGTTTCCTGATAGAATTCTTCCTCTTACAACATCATTAAAGCCTTCTCGTCGTGTTGCAGCATACATACTTTCTGTGGACTTCTTCATGTCAGAACGGTGTCCTGAAAAGAAAATCCATTTGGAAATTTATACTTCTTGTAATCCTCAAGATTTAACAACATAAGGTAATGCTATACGTAGTAATACAGTAGGCCACTGTTTGTGGCAGTCTGACATGCTACTATTCTGGAAAAACAACAAAGCATATTCCTGTTTTATTACAAAAATATTAAACAGCTTTTAAGTCCAGACACTTAAGTTTCTAGAAGTGAAATATATTAAAATATGTATTTATTTGCTCATTTTTATTTGGACAGGGTTTTTACTCTATTCCATCTTGGAGAAATAACACCAAGCCTTCAAACATAAAAAGCATATCTATTAAAAGTAATAATTTTTAATGGCATCCAGCAATGTTTCTACTGTCTGAGAAAAAAGATTTTTCAAAGGCCTTACCATATTCCAGTCCATCAAACCTGGCCATATTTGATGCCACTTCTGCTGTGCACAGCACATGATAGCAGACAATCGAGTAACGAGTGTGTGGTAGACTCACTTCAATTACTTTAGCACCTGCATCCTTAAAGAGGTCAGCAGCCTTTGACCAGAGAGCCAGAATTTCACCAGAAAGCCCTGGTGCATGATATTCCTTCGTGAAAAACAAGAAGGGGAGTGATTTTACATACTGGTTTACTTCTAATGACAACCAATATGCAAATACTCCTTGCTTAAAATACATTGAAACTACTACCTCAGCCCTATATGATTTAAAGTACTTATTAAAGCTTTTTGCATATACTAAATATTACACAATCAAGCAGTATTAAATTAACAGGATTCTGCCTTCTTAAGAATATTATGTTCATCTCAGTAGGATGAACCCACATACCACAGACCACGGAGTCTCTTTAGCAGTTTCTTCTGAAGGAGAAATTGCCCAATTAACTGCTTACTTGTCTATTCATGGAGACTATACTCCACTGCTCTGTAGTTTGTGGGTGGAAACTCTTCAGGTTTAAATCCTAATACTACGGCTACTGTGAGCAGAAAAGATAAAAAGAAACTATGGCTACAGCATATCAGTGGCAACTGTTATGAAACAAACAGAACAACCCACCAAAGAACTACAATAAAGGGCTTGGGAGAAGACTTAGGAAAGCTACGTTCCTGTTTAAAAAATCAAGTTAAAGATATTCTATTAAAATTCTCTATTTCTGAAGATACTCGCTTTATTCCTAACCCACAATATCAGGGTCATAACACTGTCTAATTTCTGAGTAGTTATGACCCGTGTTTAATATATGCATGGAACTGTTTAGGATAATCTGTAGCAGTAGAAAACAACTGTCCAAAGGATATGAATAATTAGATTTTGATAAATCTAAAATAGTGGTATTGGTTAAACAGTATGCAGCTAATTAATTTTCTAGGCATACATTTTTTGCATCTCACGGATCCTGAATAATTAATGGTCAGTGGACATCTCTGTTTACCAAATTAAATCTTTTCGTGTACTTGTTCTAGTACAGGTTCAAATACTGAGAATCAAGCCCATAAACATTATTCACACTGTCTCTTCGAAGGCAGAGCCTTTACTAAATTAAATTAAAAATAGGCTGAAGTTCCAACTGTACCTGATTTACAAGTATCCTTACAGTTACAAACATGATTGAATTGCATGCATCAGAAGCCAGATTACAGTTGTCTTTTGATCGCTATTAGAGCTCTGTGAATCACTTGTGCCATTCAATTGCTCCTTGTGCCACTCAACTGCCTTATAAAATTCTGCTTCATATTAACACAGTGACATTTAGCCAAGTATCTCAAAGCACTGCACAAACCAGTACTAACCTCATTGTATGAGAAGGCACCAAGAGCAACTCATTTGAGGCTATACAGGTGACTGATGAAAGAGCAACAGACAGAACCAAGAACTGAAGTTCCCTGTTTCACTTGGAGTTTCCCAGCAGTGCTTCCCACAACAGTGACAAAATGTTTTAGCATTAGCGTATGCTCACTCCAAATTGCCTGCAAAGGCAAGAGAGCACATACTGCTCTTTTCCAGGAGCTGCCTATAGTGTTTTCACTGTTTTAAGTCATGAGAGACTACGAGGTGGTGGGCAAGACACAAGTATTTTTTCTGTTAGCTCCACTATTGTTGACAGGATTTAAATGTTACCTTTGGAATTCCTATCGAGAGCTTGCTGACATCAATCAAATCGGGTAGTTCAAATGGCTTAAAGTTGTCCTGAATTGTCGTAGAGTCTTTAGGATCATGTCCAGCAAGTGAACCTGAAATATGACAGGATATATGAAGAACGGGAAAATGTGCATTGGGTAGCCAGAATTCAATTTGTTTTGAGACAGTGTTGTAAACAAAGATATGCTGCATACAAAGGCATAAGAAGTAGTAATACCTAGCACAACTACTGCGTCATCCACACATCTGGTTAGGATTCCTGGCACATCCATGGAGTTCACTAGAGGAATGAGACCATGGCGAGAGATCAGTCCGTATGTTGGCTTTAAACCTACTACACCACAGTGAGCAGCAGGGTTTCTGGTAGATCCTCCTGTGTCTGACCCTAAAGCTCTATAGTTTCAAAAGAATTATCATTAGTAAAATAGTTCAGAACATTTCCAAATAACAAAAATGTATGGTTTTAGGATGCATGGATTAAAAAAAAAATGCGTGAATTCTTCCAGATTAGAAGTCATAATCACACAGTCTAAATTTCAGTCTGCTCCCTAAGTCTGCTATTTTTTATATGTTCTCTTATTTTTATTAGGGTCTCTGATTTAGCCATGAAGAGACCCCAGCTCTCTCTACAAAGAGTTGGATACACCGAATTTAGGCCCTCCAAAAATAGCCCTGAATATCTACTTCCACCTTCTCTGTTGGTCTCTTCCAATACTGTGGTCTCCAAGAGATACGTTTCATGTGATTTAGAGTATGATTTTCAGACATTGGTATCTTATTTTTTCAGTTGCCAATATACTATGAAGCAGCATTTTCCAGTACACAAATAAATAGCAACACAGTACACTTTTTGCCCCTAGCATCAGGGCATGCTTTTCAAAGTCTAGGATGCTTTTCCTGTTTCCAAACTGACAAAGCATAGCATGAGAACTCCCAGTTTAGTGTCACTTAAGTGCATTTTTAGAACACAGTAATTTTTTCTTTTTTTAAAGTTGACTTCTTTTTCTTGTTCTTTCACATGTGAAAACTTGTTCTTTCTAAATGGAAATTTTTATTTCAAAAACTCTAATGAATTGGAAATTCACACTGAAATAACCTGCTCTTTTCATAATTTTAACTCAAGCATCATTTAAAGACAGCTTTCATCCAAATCTTTGCCAAAAATAAATTACACTTCAGAAGGAGGTATAATTTTTATTGACGTGGGTATGTAACTTTTCCCGTGGGCATCTGTTTCTGAGATGGCTGAACTAATTCAAATGACTTTGCTGAAGTGGAATTTTTCACAGTTTTTGAATTGATATAAAACACCCTCAATTTTGCAGCATTTCTGCACATCCAGACCTCAGACTGAAAAGACAAAGACTGGCAGTGTTCCTGATGCTTGAACGAAACTAATATAGACTGGATATACAATAGGTTATAGGCAATAAAATAGCTGGACAAAAACCATCTCCCTGATCTGACAAAGTGCTGAGCAGTGAAAAATGGGTGTCCAGCACTCCCAGCAACAGAAGAGAAGGTGCCAGACCATACCAGGATCAGACTGTTCTGGCTCAGGACAAGGACCAGCAGCCTTTGGGAATGGCTGCACTGAGTTCAGTTTCAACAGTATTAAAAGGTTGAGTATACCACAACCTAGCAAAGGGCAATGAGATGAAGAGAGGTATCATTTAAAAAATGTGTCATAAAATAAATCGGGTTTTGTATATAATACCATAATATTTTTTTAAAAAAAGCTGTGATCAACAATAGCAAAAAATACTTTAACAAAAAAATGGATGCTTGTAATACAGCCTATGGGTAAACAAGGACACAGTAACTTAAACACCTTCTAGTCAAGAGAACAACTAAAACCATCTTCTAGCAAATGTGCTCCACTATGTAGCTCTGAAAAGTGCATACAGGCGTAAAGTTTTAAGGATCAGATTTCTTTTAATGGTTGGATGGGGAAGATAGTATAGACAACTGATTTGTTAAGATAGTAACTGTTGTAAAGAAAAAATTCTCGCTTGTTTAAATTCCTTTTTAAAAAATAAACCAAACAAAACAAGACCCCAAAACTAAAACTGTCTTTTTTTAAACCAGACAAGATTGTAAGTATCTGTGTCGTAAGTATCTGTTTATCCTTTGTCAAGTCAGGGATTTGAAAGCTTTTAGATCCCAAATCTCATGCATTATTACATAACAGTGCTGTAAGAACAAAGGAGGGAAGAAAGGATTACTATACTGTTACAAATTAAGGGATCTCCTCATCTACCCAATTACATTTTCATGTGTTTGGGTTTCATGCATTTACTGAGCAAAAGGATGTGTCACAAACCCCATGTTAATTTTAAGAGAGTATGGGGGAAGAACAATAAGACTGTTGTTCCTTTACTGCCATTATCTTTTTATTTCATGCAATGCAAAGTGGCCATATCATTATGCTGAGTAACACTCAAAATGAATAAGCCTAGATTTGCCTACATGGATTCATTCCGGCTTCACGATATGCCATAAATAACGTAGGGACGCTGAAATAAATTCTTATATGCCAGTGCAAATAACCCTCCCATTTCAAACTAGGTTACGGGAAAATTATAAAATCAAAACCTTGCAACATATTTTGAGACATTTCATGAAAAACAATTTAAAACAGCCTCTTACGCAAAACATGTGAAAGATGACACAGCAGCCGCACTGCCTCCTGAGCTCCCTCCTGTTATTACCCACTTAGTCTCTTTGTCCTCAGAACAGGATTTGGGGAGAGATTTTTCCTTGTACTGTCTTGAATAACTCCAGGGATTTCTGACTGGTCCAAATACCCCATCCGTACTCCCAGATCTAAGACAGTCAGACAGAACAAAAAGAGACAGAAGTGACAGGTGAGACACACTGAATTCACTAAGTTTTTTTCGTTATCCAATTCCTCATTCTTCATCCCAGCAAACTCAATTTCAAAACAAAAAGATTGGTATACTAAATCCTTGCACAGTCAACTTCAACGATGTTACACAGAATTATAAAGTTTATAGATCTTCATCCCTTTCTGACACAGAACCTGAATTTGTATCTCCTCTTAATTTCTGCTAATGCCACTGAAAAGAACATAATCACAAAAACATAAAACTGATTTAAGCTACCTCACAGTAAAGCTGCACACTGCTTCAAAACAAAGGTTTTCTGGTTTCCTGACTCTACATTTGGAAAAGGCAAAAGTAGATGACCACAGCCTTGTGGAAAACCATGCTGCTAGAGGTGGGGAAGAAAGCTCCACGATAGCAGGAACAAGCATTTCTCTGTAAGTAGCACACTATTACTCACTCCATAGCCCTCTCCCGAGGCCACAGTTCGCTGATTCAGAGGGCTAGACTAGCTTCTTAGAATCTGCTCTCAGTCAGCTTGTGGTCACCTAAGTGTGAGCTGCCACCAGAAGCCAGGGGTACTTTCCTCCTTCCTCTCAACCTCTACCCAATGTTCCCCAACTGCAGGGTGCCAGCGCTATCAGCCAAATCATCAGACAGAGCAGGCACCTGACACAGCAGTTGAAAACTTACCGTATTAAGACATCATTATGTTAGAGCTGGATTTGCTCCGTGGTCAAGCTCATGGTATAGCTGTGTTGGTGCTAGCGTAAGAGATCATGCAAACACACAGACTAGAGCCGATAGGCCAGTGGTGGGATAAGCCTTTTTAGGAGAATCCTGTGCTTTAATGAGCTCAGACCGGTTGTATCACTGCATAATCAGTTTTTTCCGTGCTTTTTCCTTGCTCTTCCTCTGAAGAGCATCTCTTTGACACAGAAATTCTGTTCCCACTGACTGGAAAAGGGTAAACATAACCCCTATTTTTAAAATGGGGAAAAAAAAGGAAGACCCAGGGAACTACAGGCCAGTCAGTCCCACCTCTGTGCCCAGCAAAATCATGGAACAGATCGTCCTGGAAGCTATGCTTGTGTACATGGAAAATAAGGAGCTGATTGGTGACAGCCAACAGGGCTTCACTAAGGGGAAATCACACCTGACAAATTTGGTGGCCTTCTACAGCGGGGTTACAGCATTGGTGGATAAGGGAAGAGAAACTGATGTCATCTATCTGGACTTGTGCAAAGCATTTGACACTGTCTCACACAATATGCTTGTCTCTAGAGACATGGATTTGACAGATGGACCACTTGGTAGACAAGGAATTGGCTGGATGGTTGCACTCAGAGAGTTGCGGTCAACAGCTTGAGGTCCAATTGGAGAACAGTGACGAGTGCTGTTCCTCAGGGGTTGGTGGTGGAACTGGTGCTGTTTAACATCTTTTGTCTATGACATGGACAGGGGGACTGAGTGCACCCTCAGCAAGTTTGCCAACGACACCAAACTGTGTGGTGTGGTCGACACGCAGGAGGGCAGGGATGCCACCCAGGGGGACACTGGCAGGCTTGAGAGGCCTGCTCAAACCTCATGACGTTCAACAAGGCCAAGTGCAAGGTCCTGCACGTGGGTCAGGGCAATCCCAAGCACAAATACAGGCTGGGCGAGGAGTGGATTGAGAGCAGCCCTGCAGAGAAGGACATGGGGGTCTTGGTTGACAACCAGCTCAACGTAACCCAACAATGTGCACTTGCAGCCCAGAAAAACAACCGTGCCCTGGGCTGCATCAAGAGCAGGATGGCCAGCAGGTCAGGGGAGGGGATTCTCCCCCTCTCCTGCACTCTCGTGAGACCCCACCTGGAGTCCTGTGTCCAGCTCTGGGGCCCCCAACAGCAGAAGGACATGGACCTGCTTGAGTGGGTCCAGAGAAGGCCACAAAAATGACCAGGGAGCTGGAGCACCTCCCTTATGAGGGCAGGCTGAGAGAGTTGGGGGGGTTCAGCCTGGAGAAGAGAGGGCGCCGGGGAGACCTTATAGCGGCCTGCCAGTACTTGAAGGGGCTACAGGAAAGGTGGGGAGGGACTCTTGATCAGGGAGCACAGGGATAAGACATGGGGTAACTGTTTTAAACTGAAAGAGCATCAATTTAGACTAGATATAAGGAAGCAACTGTTCCCTGTGCGGGGGATGAGGCGCTGGCCCAGGGTGCCCAGAGCAGCTGTGGCTGCCCCCTCCCTGGAAGGGTTCAAGGCCAGGTTGGACGGGGCTGGGAGCCCCCTGGGCTGGGGGAAGGGGGCCCTGCCCGGGGCAGGGGGGTTGGGACTCGATGATCTTTAAGGTCCCTTCCAGCCCAAACCATTCTATGATTCTGTGAAATTAATTTATCCCAAACAATACAGTCAAATTATTTCCATCCATGTGAATTTCCAATCAAAACTCCATCTTTGGTTTAGGTAAAATAAAAACCACATCAAAACACAACACTTGTTTCTCACAGGTAACTAAAATCCCAGACATTCCTTTCCACACCCAGCTGTTGTGCTAACAGAGACTCCCATCCCTAATAGCCCAGTGCTGTTCCCTGATATACCTTGGCTGCCTTCACTGATTTGCTGGAGAATCAAGCTGTGAGAGCATTTTCCAACGTGCTCTTGATAAAAAGTCACCAATATTAGCTCAGGCAATTTAAAGATTAGCCTGTTTGCAACAAAAATTCATACAAAACCTCATACAAATTACTCCAGTGGCTGTCCGGCAGAGGCAGTGACTGCCATCGGGGACATGACAAAAATTAACTAAGGACAAAAATCACCTCTAAGTAGAAAGAAAAAGGCAACAACTACCTGGTGTCGTAACCAATTCTACTAACAGATTCTCTTCATGGGTAAGTATTCATTATTTTCTAACCTCACAGAAAGCGGAGTTAAGGATTACAGGTAGATTGGAACAGATGGTGTGTATTCTATTTAATGTGCAATCACACATTACAAATAATAAACATCACTCACCCCATTGCAAATTCATCTAGGTTTGTTTTTCCTAAAAGCACAGCTCCTTGATCCAGTAATTTCTGAACTACTGTAGCATTGTAAGGAGAAATATAACCTGAAAACAATCAGAACAGTTAAGAGTGATTGGTAAGATACAGATGATTTTTAGAAGTAGCTACCCTGAACCAAGTTATCATTATTTGTGGATAAGGATTGTCAGTTCACAGTGCCAAAATTTTGCTTCAAGAAAACACTAGTAATTTCCAAAATTTAGCAAAAGTAAATCAAATGCCATTTTGTTTGCAGGTGTTTTTTTTTGTTGTTGTTGTTTTTTTTTTTTCTTTCCTCCACAATTTACCAACCAGTAATTCTGGATTATACATTCCTAGAGTGTGGAGATACGACTTCACATAAACAAGTTATCACAAGTGTAGTAAATTACTGCATTCAGCCAGTTTGCAGGAACTGTCTAAAATGAGAAGAAATGAGAAACAGCTCTTTACAGAAAAGTGCTAAGCTATCTTGAATTACCTCCCTTTACCATGAGATAAAGGCACACATGGTTAACCACAAGCTGAGCCACTACTGGCTGTTGTGTGATCAAACGTGTGCACCCTTGACCACTTAGACCTTGCATAAATTACGATGAGAAGCACAACACTTACATGAGATCCTAGGTAGCAACCAATTCCTTTTGTGAATATTGACAGGGGTTTCTCCACCCCCACTCTCAGTGGGAACAATAAGGACAACATCACTCCTAATACTCTCAGCCAGGACATTGCAATCAACCACAATGGGCCTGACAATGCGCTTTAATGAAAAACATCTCAGGTAATGTAACACTTTTTAAAATGGCAAAGACATACTTATTTATTCTGTTATTAAAACCCCCATTAATCAGATCAGGTTTCTGCTAATTTACTTGAGCTATCTTCCACAAAACTCTTCAGTTTTACTTTGTGCAGAATAAAACAGATATAATAAATGTTTTCTATTTTTGCTTTTACTCTGAAGACTTTCTAATGCCTTGAAAATGTTCATGGCATGTTAACAGAAATAATGAGCTTAGGAAATCTCAAAAAATTAAAAGTGTCTTATAGTACATGTTTGTATATCAGTAATATAAAGAAAATAATTGTTAATGTCTATTCTTCCTACAGCCATATGAAAAAAATACTTAACAATTATCAACAGAAGAAAAAAAAAAGAGACCATCTTTGGATTTTGCTAGATGGAACATCACTAACTGCTCTCATGTAGACCTAAAAATAATGTGAAGCAAAATGCAAATTATAGAACAATTCTATTTTAGTGCACAGGCTATAATAAACATTGCATTGTTAAAAGCATGTAACTACACGAATAAAGGAGATAATCTACTTATATGAGAAAAAGATACATCTGTAATACCAGATGAGCTTGGCAGAAGAAATTACATAAACATATTTTCTCAAATTAGTTCAGCTCATTTTTTGAAAATATTTTGATTTCTCGAAGACTCTATTCCATAAACCCACTAAAGAGAAGAGCAAGAGCTCTGAAATGAGATCTGATGTTACTTTAAAAGGTCTACTGTACCTTTTAGCATATTTGATGCACATGTTGTCTCAATGCCAGCTGTATTAAAGTTGTCTTTTACTGCAACAGGAATTCCATCTAAAATACCCAGCGGCTGACCTGCATTAGGAATTATTGCAAAAACAACAGCGATTAACGCAAAGTGTGCTATACAGATAGTCTTATCAATTACAGTTTATTTTACATGTACCTTTAGGTGTTTTGTTGGAAGAATGCTATCTACTTAGCAACTGATGGCTGTCTTCCATTTTCAAGAACGATCTTCCATTCTAACTCTAGCATGGAGCATTCTACCCAGACCGGACTTGACGCTGCAGAGCAGAGCTCTGCAAATGTGTCTAAGCCTGCAAGACAGGCAGCTGCTTTCATACAAGTTAGATATCCCAAAGGAGTGCTTACCTCTTCAAATGTGACCATGTAATGCTTATTTCAGGCATAGGTGCCGCCTAAATCTACTCCATCCCCAGGCTGGGAGCCATAAATGCTGCCTAACATACACTGTAGATGTGATCTAAAAAAATTACTGAAGCTCAGAAAGTCTTCCTTATGTAATCAATTATCCAACATCCAGCCAAAAAGTAATTTAAAATGTCTACGTCAAGAAATAAAACACTCTGGCTGGCACTTTTCTTAAGGTGTCAGAGGACAGCAAGTGTCACCCAGGAAGGAAAAAAAGTACTCTACTAGGTAAAAACGTCTTCCAGGAAACTCAAAGGAAAATGAGGATTGTCAGTCTCTAAATGCTGCAGATGACAGGATTCAACGCTTTAATGAGTTCATCTGCTCATCACCACAACTGAGTTGCTTTATTTTCACATGCTTTCTTAAAGCCTGATGTGCTGAGCCAGATGTTCGTCCACCTCAGCCAAGAGGCCTGCAAAAGACCACTGCATCTTCCTGTTCGTGGTAACTGTTGGCTACCAATTTAAAACAAACTGCTGAGGGAAAGAAGAAGCAAGCGGTAGCAGTGCTGTTCAGGAAGTACAGAGCTTATTTGATCTGCGGTACCCGCCTGGCTTGGACCAGGTTTTGCCTTTGATTTTTGAATTGAATACACGACCAAGTGCCAAGCATATACCCATGAGCATGCATGTACTGAAGCCTCAACTACAATCCTCATCGCCCCTCATAGTGAACCGGGTAGTGCATACAGCTGCTTTCAAAAAATTTCTCCACCTAACAGAAAAAGCCCCTCCACCTCAACTTTTTAAGGACTAATATCAAGCAGGTGCAAACATACCTCTTCTGTATCTTTTTTCTGATTCTTCAGCCTGCTTCAAAGCGGTTTCTTCGGCTACGGTAATGTAAGCATTGAGAAACTTGGTGCTTTTGATGAGGGAGAGGCAGCTCTGGCAGAGCTCCGTCGGGGAGACGCTTCCTTCCTTCAACGCCGCCGCCACCTAGAAGTGCAACCCCGCTGTCAGGGCAGCCAGGCGGCAGAGCCCGCTCCGGGGCGTTAAGCGGATAAACCGCTACCGCTTCAGGAAGGAGCCCGGGGAAGGGCTCTCCCCGGCCCCGCCGTGCCTGGTCTCCATTCCGCTTCCCCCCCGGCTCTGGGGCGGGGGGACGCGAGGGGACACCGCGGCAGGCCCCAGTCACCTTGGGAGCCGAGCCGAGCCCAGCCCGCCCCGCTGCCGCCGCCGCCCCGCTCCTCGGTGCCACTCACCTGGCGGAGAGAGGCGCGGAGCATGGCGACCCGCTTCCCGCCGCCGCCGCCTCCTCCTCCTCTTCCTCCTCACGCCCGCCGGCCCGCCGCCACCTTTCCCCCTCCGGCGCGGCGGATGGGCGCCGCCATCTTGCCGCAACACCGAGCGGCACCATTGGCAGGGGCGCCAAGAAGGCGGCCGCCTATTGGTCGGTGGTGTCACCGGGACGAGGGAGGAGGGCAGGCCGGGCCGGGCCGGGCCGGGCCGGGGCTGGGCTGGGCTGAGCGGGGCGGCGAACGGGGAGGGCCGCGTCCCGATCCCAATTCGGATTCTGCGGGGCGCCCGTCTGCGCGGCCCGGCCCGGCTGCCCCGGCCATGCTGGCGCGGAGGGGCGCGGCGGGCGGGCGGGCGCTGCGCGGGGCAGCGCGGGCGGGAGGGCAGCCGCCGGTGCGCGGCCTCCGCGCCTCTCCGCGGGCGCGGTCCGTCATGCCCTCCTGGGTCATAGACCGGTACGGCCGCAACGACGTGCTGCGCTTCACCAAGGACATGGCGTTCCCCATCATACACTTCCCGAACGAGGTCATCATTAAGGTTCACGCCGCGAGCCTGAACCCCATCGACCTCAGCATGAGAAGTAAGTGCCGGGCCCGAGCGGCCGGGGCCGTGCTGGCCGGGGCTGCGCTGGGCTTGCGGCTCCCACAGGTCCCCCGCCCTCCAAAATCCTGTTGTCACCCACCGGCCCCGGCAGGCAGGCACCCCCCGGCAGCGGCAAGGGGGCTGCCTCAAAGCACATGCCCTGAGCCCTGTGGGAAGGCGCCTCTAAGAACTATTTTTTTTTCCCGCCAAATTCTGAGGGAGGGACTGCACAAAAAGCCGCTGCCTTTCTGAAGACAAGTGTGTGTGTGGTCAGGGGTTGAGTTTTTAATCTGAGTGACTAATTGCTGTGTTCCGCAGGCTTGCAGCTCTCCAGGCAGCTTCCTGTTGGTAGTAGCATGACCGTGGTGGGGTTGTATTTCCCGGCCTTCTCCCCCCATCCCCACCATCTGGGTGGTGGTACTTTCTTGACCAAGGCACTGGCCCTTCCAGGAATTAGCGTTCCCCCCGAGAGGTGCTGGATTTTCCTGTCTCTTTGAGGTGAATGGGGCTGAAGGTCGGAGTTGCCACGAAGTCGGCACGTGCCGCCTAATCCGCGCCGTGCTGTCTCGTGTCGTGCCCGCCCTTCCTGAATTGGCATCTGGGTACCTGCTGTCATCTTGCCCAGGAAATCTGTATCTGTCACTGACCAACTCTCTATTTGACACGTTTAATCAGATTTTTCCCTCAGTTTCCACGTTCGAAACATGAGCATGAAGTTGCGGTAGTAGCAGACTATTTCATGTTGAGAGGTGAGCTTGCATATCAAATCAGATTCAGTAGCACATGCAGAGGTAGATGCAGGAGATGTCCCCACAGAGCTGTAATTCATGGTTTGGGTCTCTCATAAACTCATTTTAAAAAATCTTTGTATAAGGTTCTGGGTTTGAATATGGGACATTTGCTATCTGAGGATTCCGGTTGAATAACCCTCTCGAACTACTGGGCTGCAACTAGTATTTTGAGTCAGTGTAAAAGTATTTGAAAGAAACTATGTCTGTTTCTTTTCAGTATTAAAACACTTTCTAGCATAATAGGGCACCTAGGCAGGCTTGTCCAAACACTTGAAAGAGCATATATGCCTGAATGCAGACTTTTTATAGGCTGAGCAGAGTTATTAGGTGGGTAATTCTGCAAGTTGCCAGCATTTAGCTATTGCATACTAAATAAATGTTCAGGTTATTCATCTTAGGATATGTGCCTTAATATTTTTTACAATGATGTACATGTTGCTTTTTACAAAACTGTATTTGAAAAGACAAATGGAAAGCTTGGAGTTCTTTTGGATTTATAGCTACATGATGCTCTTGGAAAACTGAGCATTTTCACCATCTCCAGCGGACTTCTTAGAATTTCTGACAGTGTTATCACATAAGAGATTTTTTTTATAATGGAGAACCATTTCATGGACAAATAAGCAAGAATGAGATTTGGTCTTTATTTGTAAAATCTGTAAAAGTATAAAACATTGCAGATTTTTTTTATCCTTAAGTTATAACAGAAATGAGGCATGTTAGATACAGACAGTGCTTTCTGATTGGAATTGTCCAGTTAATAAATGAAAATTCAGTATAGTGTGTCATGGTTAATTTCCTGTTTTGCAGGTGGTTATGGTGCAACTGCATTAAATATGAAGCGGGACCCCCTAAAACTCAAAAACACGGACACTGAATTTCCACTGACACTTGGTCGAGATGTTTCTGGTGTTATTATGGAATGTGGACTGAGTGTGTCTTACTTCAAACCTGGAGATGAGGTGATGCCACCAATCTCTTTTTTTCTGAAATGTATAGTTAAAATACACTATGGGGTGTTCAATTTTTGTTTTCCTCTTAAGACTTTTTTTTTTATGTTGTTGCACTCTGAATGAGGACTATCTGGCAGTAAATTCCTAGAATGCCTTCTTCCCTACCTTTTTTCTCTAAAAAAACATGGTCTTTCCCAGACGTACTTCAGCAAGGTAATTTCCCTTCTGTTTTTTAATTTTTGGTCCATTTCAGTGGTAGCAGTAGAGGAATTTATTAATTATAAGTGCACACTCAAGATGCTGCTCATTTTTGACTGAAGATAGAATTCTAACAGGAAGGGATTAGTTGTTTTTTTTTTTTTCTTGAGTAACCTAGTTAGGAAAGGAACTCTGGCATAACCTAAGAACCATTTTGTGAGTCCTCACATAAATACTGGTATTGCTTACTTTCACCTTCACTAGTGACTTTCACATTTCATCAGTTTTAGTATAGCAAATTCTGATTCCTCCTCGCCTCATCCCCTCCAAACTGGGCTTCCCTGGCACAGAAGTAGTTCGCTTTTTTTTTGAAAAATCATGTCTTTTACACAGTATGGTAAAATTTGTTTACATAGTTCTGCAGTCTTTCATTTGTTCAGTCTTCGATTTTTTTTTTTTTTTTTTTTTTTTTGTGAAAAGACTAACCTAATCTGGTTTCTGATAAGCCATGGTGAAGACATTCTGCGACTTGGAGAAAAAGATTAATGAAGAAAACTTTTCTGTTGTAGGTACAGTCATGTGCGAAGTCACAAAAACTGATCGTTGTTTTCTGTTTGGTTTTAGGTGTGGGCAGCAATTCCTCCATGGAAACAGGGCACTCTGTCAGAATTTGTGGTAGCTAGTGGAAATGAGGTAAACCTTCAAAAACGTGGCTAACAGGCAAAACCCCAAAACTGTAGAGACTGGCTTTTTTTTTTTTCCTTCGGTGTCTAAGTAACTGTCTGTTTCTTGGTGCTTGAATTGATTTAGACTCCAGCTAGTTATGAAGATAGTTGAAAATGTGGAATACACAATCTGCAATTCAGTAGAGCTTGTTGAAATATTTCAGTGTTACGTAGGTTTTGCTGTGTGACTTAGATACGACTGATTTTATTTCAGGTGTCTTTTAAGCCAAAGTGTCTCAGTCACACAGAAGCCGCCTCCTTACCGTATGTAGGTCTCACAGCCTGGTCTGCAGTTAACCAAGTTGGAGGACTCAACAGAAGTAACTGTGGTGGAAAAAGGTAAGTAAATTGTTCTGGTGCTAAAACTTAGCGTTCCATTTTTTTACAGATTAGCTGCTTCTAAGACGTGTCCAACAGTGATGAAGGCTGTTATGCCATGACATTCACAGAGACCAACTGGCCTGAAGATGCTAGGTTCAATCTACACAACTGCTGAGAGAGAGGCTTCTTTAGAGGGAGACAAGGACCCTACCTGAAATACACCTAGCTGCTTGCTTGCTTCCTCTCTATAGTGACTATATTAAGGTAGTCCAATGTAGATCTCATGTATAGGACTATATAGGGAATTTAAGGATGGTATCTCTAGGAATGTGTAGAGACTTTGCCTTTCTGCCTGCTAGGACAGCTATCCAGATGTAATATCCTCCCTCTGAGTTATTTTGGCGACTCACAAAAAGCCCTCTCAGCCATAGAGGTGTGGTTCGCTCAGTTCCTGCATGCGTGGGCTGTTTGGAAGGGACTGGTTTTCCAACTTTTTAGAAAAAAAGTAGCAGGTGACTGGGTCTTACTTGACCTGTAGGCCAGAACTGTGATGAGGTCAGGAACGCAGAAGAGAAGAGGAAAACGTGCAAGGCAAAGAAGCCAAAACAAATAGAAAAATTGGCGTTATCAGCCTGTTAATCTGACAGTGGGAGATGGAGGACAGAAGAGGAAAAATACATTGAAAGGTTGGAGCAGATAAGATTTTTCTCCTGAAAATTGGAATTTGCAGTTATTTTGGCCTTTGGATGTTTGTGTAAATAGATAGCAAAATCTTCAAATTGGAAGGAAGGGGAAAAGTAAAAATAGTGGAATTGAAAAATAATCATTAAAATAACTACATTGCAGCAAAAATGTAGGTCATAAAGTAATTACTGGGCAGTAGGAGTCTAGATGCCTGACTTCCTCTTATCTTCGGTGTTACTGCTGTAATGCAACACATTGCATAGGACACTAGATTTATTGAAATTCTTCACCCACATCTTTAGAAGATAACTGAGTGAGTGGTTGTTCCTATGTCATGGTAAATTTCATCATGAAAATACCAAGTAATTGTTTGTTCTAAAGATAAACAATGTTTTGAGAAAATGAAATTGCAGAATTTAAAGCAATTTCAAAGAGGCATCATTGATGCTAACTTCCAGTTAGTGATAAGATTCTAGATATATTGACTTCCTTTTTATTTTTCAGTATTTAGACTTTTTAAATTATCTTAACTTTCACATGTAGATAGAATTAACCTAAAGATACATTGTTAGGCTAGCCTTGTTTAAAGTGTCCTTCCAATCTTCAGGTAAGTGTTAAAAGTGAAATTCAAACTGCATTTATATCGTGTCTTTACATTTAACGTTTACTTTTATGTTCCCAATAAATTTTTAATTACTCTGTCAGCAAAAAACATTTTAATGTACTTATAAAATTATGACGTTTCCCATCTAGAAGTTTTGAATTGTAAAAGCAGCAGAGAATGACTTATGTGATGATAGCTTTTTTCCCATGAAAAATTTCTTGTAGGAAAATACATAAAATGCATTGAACAGGCTGTGCAAAAGTATATTCCATGAATTTTACATTACTTTCTTAAGGCAATACTTTCAAACCCAAAGAATTGACATAATGTTTCTTAATTTCTTGAATTAATTTAGTATGTTTGGTAAGAAGTTACCTACATATGTGATTTTATGTTGGTCTTTTTGTCTCCTGTAGGTGTATGTAAATAGCTATGTAGAAGGGTGTATGTACACACAAGAGTGTGTCTTATTTTGAAAGAGCAGCTGTATTCCTTGATGAAAGCTACTTCACTGATACTTTATTGCAGTCTTAAGACAGCGAGATTGTTCTATTGGTGTGTATTATTTTCTTTGCCTCTTTAAGGTGAAAGGGTGGGCTAACCAGAAACGCTCGCTAACAGTCCAGCATCTGACTGTATGTTGATCTGACAGGAGTATCTGCACACACTTTCACAAATTTTGTTTTTCTGAGTTACCTGAAGTGTGCTCACATTTTTTGTGATGTCTCCTGCATCACTACAACTCCAGTCCGTAACTTTTGTCCCGTGCCACTGTAATTTAAGTCAGTATTCTTCCACAAGCTAAAAGTGAGTGTTCTTGTTATCCAAAATGTTCAGAATGACTGTTGTTTTGAAGTTCTCTGTAGATAATACCTGGAGAGCTTCTCATATGTGCCAGTGTCCTGTTTCGGTAGAAAGGGGATATGCTTGTTCAACAGCAGCTGTTAAATATCTTGCTTGCTGTATTCACAAAAAGCATGATAAAAACAGACCTGACAATTAGAGAAGTTCTTGAAAACATTTACGTTAATATTAAGTAAAGGTCTTTTATATAAGCACAGAGTCAATATTTTATATGTTTAAATAGGCAGGGGAGAGACGCTCGATTCTGTTACTATAAGCTACTAAATGTACATTCATGGTCTTTATTGTTAGAATGAAAATCTGATTGATGTAATAGAATCATAGAATGGGTTTGGGCTGGAAGGGACCTTAAAGATCATCTAGCACCAACCCCCCTGCCCCGGGCAGGGCCCCCTTCCCCCAGCCCAGGGGGCTCCCAGCCCCGTCCAACCTGGCCTTGAACCCTTCCAGGGAGGGGGCACCCACAGCTGCTCTGGGCACCCTGGGCCGGCGCACCTGTGCCCCTTCAAGTACTGGGAGGCCACCATAAGGTCTCCCTGGCGCCTTCTCTTCTCCAGGCTGAACCCCCCCAACTCTCCCAGCCTGCCCTCATAAGGGAGGTGCTCCAGCTCCCTGGTCATTTTTGTGGCCTCCTCTGGACCCACTCAAGCAGGTCCATGTCCTTCTTATGTTGGAGGCCCCAGAGCTGGACACAGGACTCCAGGTGGGGTCTCACGAGAGTGTAGGAGAGGGGGAGAATCCCCTCCCTTGACCTGCTGGCCATCCTGCTCTTGATGCAGCCCAGGGCACGGTTGTTTTTCTGGGCTGCAAGTGCACATTGTTGGGTTACGTTGAGCTGGTTGTCAACCAAGACCCCCATGTCCTTCTCTGCAGGGCTGCTCTCAATCCACTCCTCGCCCAGCCTGTATTTGTGCTTGGGATTGCCCTGACCCACGTGCAGGACCTTGCACTTGGCCTTGTTGAACGTCATGAGGTTTGAGCAGGCCTCTCAAGCCTGCCAGTGTCCCCCTGGGTGGCATCCCTGCCCTCCTGCGTGTCGACCACACCACACAGCTTGGTGTCGTTGGCCAACTTGCTGAGGGTGCACTCAGTCCCCCTGTCCATGTCACCAACATAATACCCCAAGAAAATATTTTTCAAAGTCTGTGTGTTATTTCATTGTTTTATCTATTGAGAAGTACGAAGTGAGTGTAGGTTGTAAAACTTCCTGACATGGTAAATGCTTCTTGATACAGAAATAAATCTCATAGGGACATTTTGTTGGCATAATCAAACAGAATTTGGGTTTTTATATATATAAAATGGATATATATATGTTCAATAAATACAGTATTTTTTTTTTTATTTGGCACGTAGCTGAGTCACTGAAAATTGTTGTTTGGAATCTGGAGGAAATGTTAAAGAAATCTTTGATCCGTACACCCACTCCCCCACACCCTGTGTCTTTTGTGGGGGGCACACAGCTGAAACAGGTCCTGGCTTTCCGATGCTAGTTTCTGACCACACCGTAGTGCCAAGTAGGGCCCAGGGAGAAGGGCTAAACTCAGATCCCATGGTACGCTCGTCTGGAGAGATCTGCTGACTCTCTGATCATTTGAACCGCTACAGCCTCATTTGGGGCTTGGTGAATGCTGGCTTGAGTTCCCTGCCTCTGTCAGAAGGGAGCAAAGCCTACAGTGTGAACTCTTTTGTTCTTTTGAGATAATTGGCTCGCTTGGATCTCTGTTTGGGTAAAATACTAGTTTGTTCCCTTGTGCACATGCTTATATGTTGGTTTACTCCCGAGCTCACCTTTGCACTGAAACAGGTAGTTGCTCTGATGTGTTTTCTCCTGGCTGTGTTTTCCCAAGGCAGTGCAAACAAAACTGTGCCTGCTTTGGCACTTTCCATGTTTCTGTGGTCCTTCAGTACCGTCCTAACAGGTCCTGCACACTCAAACGCTTCCCCACTTGTGTTGTGCCAAACAACTTGTCTTGCTTTCCTCAGTGCTGTAAAAACGCTGAGCTGTTGAGCTGTGGCACACGGACCTCCTTTGCAGACATAGTTTGTCTCTGAAGCAAAGAGGTTTCTTGAAGTCAGGGTGTATGGAAAGAGTTTTAATAAATAGAAGGTTTGGTAGAAAATAGCCCTCGTAATGTAGGAACAAAACAAATCTGGAAAGTATTTCTACCTGAAGAATCTCAAGGGCTTTTATTGAAGAGGAAATAAAGTCCTAGCCAAGCAGTTCCCCAAAACTGAAAGTGTTACCTAAATCCTTGAACAAAATGTACATTTTAAAACAACAACTGTCTCCAGAATTTTAGTGGGAGAAATGCCCTTTAAACAAGGAATAAAATTGGAAAGGCAGGAGTTTTTGAAAGGATTTAATTGTGACTGTCCTTTGTAAGGGTAAAGATGGGCCTAGCCCAGTATCTTGAGTGTAGCATCACTGAGCCTTTTCAAGTATAATATAATCTAAATATGAATATTGCTTCAGGCATCTGTCGTTAGAAGCATGGTTCTGAGGATAAGTACTTTTTGGCAGATTTAAAAGCTGCAGGCATTGTGGTTTCAAATTCTTAATCTGAATTTTGCAGCTTGATTCAGTGAAATAGGAGGGAATGGAATATGATCAGTTTCAAAAGAGGAAGCATTTTTAAATGGATACGGTGACCAAAGCCAAGTCTCTTAGGTTACTTCAAAGAATTTTTGTAAACTGAGGCTCCAGATTGTGTAGTACAACTTTGCACTGTAAAACGCAATTTCCTTCAACATCCAGCGCAGTGAGATCTAAAACAGGAACGTCACCAGCTTCTGAAATTTTTCTGGCAAACAGAAGTTCTGAGAAACATGTTCCCCAATCCTCTGCCAAGACTTCATCTTGGATCTTCCTTTTGTCCTAGAATTAGCAAATGGTTCCCAAGTCCAAGCACTGGTTGTAACTTCAGCAGCAAGGCTTTCTTACCAATTCATTCTCAGAAGTTTAGCTATTTAATAAAATATCTGGATGGAATTTTTGAACAGTGATTAGGCTGCTAGCAGTAAGGTTCTCAAACAACTAAACTTGTATTAATTTTTATGAAATTTGGGGTTGTGTGTTCAGTTAAAATGAACTCTCGCTAGCTAATAATTTGGTAATATACTCTTTCATTTTATTGCTTGTGTGCCAGTTTCTACAACCTGGCATTTAGAGGGTCTTTTTGAGATGCACTGGATGTAATAAACTTCTTTATGGCAAGGCTACTTCACTGTATTTTTGTCTTTCTTTTAGATAAGTAATATGCAATATGGGAAAATTATGTTCCATATATTCTGAAGTTCCCAGTCTCCCTAAATAAGGTGATACTGCACTACTTTTTCCTCTTAGATAACACAAATGTGTGTAAAACATTGGTGAGTCAGATTTTTTTTCTTGAAGAGATATGACAGTGGATTCTAAGAGACAGGAAGACTCTCACTTGATTTTGTCCCAAACTAAGCAATTACGTTTGTGAGAGTGATGACAGGGACAAGGGTTTTGGGTGTAAATGTCACTGCCTGCCAGCTCCACTGCCTGGATTTAGTGGAAAGCACATTATGAGGAAGTCTCTTTGGCTGTGCTGGGTTAATGCTCTGGGCACAGGAAACATGATCAGCAAGGAGTCACGTTATTGGCTATCTGAAGAGTTACTCAGTAGGTAACGTTGAATGACATACAATATTTTGCTTAAAATAATTTGGTGTCAGAGATGTGTAAGAACCATTAGAATACGTAGTTACTGTAGAGTTTATTTAAAGAACTATTTAATGTATTTTAATTTTCTCTTACAGAGTATTAATATTAGGAGCTTCAGGAGGAGTTGGTACATTTGCTGTACAGGTAATATAAACCAGCATGTCCAGGATGCATCTTCAAACTATTCAATATGAAAAAAAAAAATGAAAGGGAATCAAGGGAAGGAATAGTGAAATAAGAAGCTATTGATCAATTTGTCTGATCAATCTGATTGAGATTTCAAAAAATTAAATATTTTCAGATTTATTGCTTTCCATTTGTTACATTGTATTAGTTTAAAGTAGGAAGCAGGAACTTTCAAAGAAGGGAGTTGTGCGTGTAGGTAGGGAAAGTTCATATTTCACGGTTTGGGTGCAGGAAATTTCTGATTGGTGTAACTTGAAATACGTAGCCTGTTTTCCTTATCTTTCAGTCAGTTCTGCTCCGTAAATATGAGAAGAACTTGGTGTATGAGTAGAAAAACTGATGGAGAATGTATCATCTACCATAACTGTTGCAGGTGGTCAAATGATACGAGAGGCACCAGGCTTTTATATGAAGTACATGTAAAGCACATTGGCTTAGATTAACTTTCCCTCACTGCCTTTGCCCTGCTGCCCTTTTGTCTGTCTTCATTCCAGTAGCTCTAAACTTTGGAGAGTGACCATGTGCTTTGATCGAGCCATTAATTGTGGGACATCATCTTTTTGTGCTTGCATTTCATTTGAGGATTTCGATTCTAATTGATGTCATCTCATGCTGAAACATCTTTAACTTGAGAATATGAAAAAAATACAGAAGTTGGGTGGTTGCATCACTGTGTTCCATGTTACTAGAGCATAAACATAGTGGTTTTAAAGAGAATTTTCAGTGGTATGCTATTTGCCTGATGCATGATAAAGCAGGTGGCTAAATTAGATCAATACGAGAAGCTGACCAGGCACTAACTAGCTGCGGTTTCTACCTGATTAATCCCGAGTCAACTACATTAATTAATCTGGAATAAATGTAAAAAATAAATGTAAAAAAATGTTACTGTGAATGAAAAATGAGACTACAAAGGAGATAAATAACAAGCAAAAAGCCTTTACTTTGCTATATCTTTTGGAGTAGAAGATAACCTGACATCTTCCGTGTGATAAATCAGAGATGACTTCCTTCTTTTTCTTCTTCCTAATATTTAAGCTATTTGCAGTGAGATAGATATATGAAATACTTAATGAGCAGGTAGGAATATAAAATATTTTAATTTAAAATATTTAAAAATATTTAATGGTTGATCTGGCGACAGTTTTGTAGATTGGTAATTTAGAGGGTACCTTTTGGTAGACATTTAGCTGGCAGATTCAGATGGCAAACTGAGTATTTTATTTGAAGCCTTATTTATCCTGAGACCTGGTATCTATCAGTGGCATTAAAAACCCACCCTCCTTACACACCAACTCCTCCCTCCACAAAACCTCCGTAAGTATCGATAAATTCTAACCGTTGTTTGTCTGTGGGATGTGTGACAAGTTATCCTGTGTTGGAACAGTCTCCCCACTCCCTACTAAAAGTGCTCCTTTAATACGTAAATATAATGAGACTTTGGCTTTTTAAGTTCTTCTCAGTGTTTCACTAAATTTTAAATTTTGGGCCTCTTTTTTTTTTTTTTTATACTTGTTTCTAGCTAGTGAAGGCCTGGGGTGCTCACGTGACAGCAGTTTGTTCTCATGATGCCAGCACACTGATGAAAAAGCTCGGAGCGGATGATGTGATTGATTACAAATCTGGAGATCTGGAAGAGCACCTTAAAACATTACCCTTGTACGTGTTTGTGTGGCTTAATACTGAGATGAAGGAGTTGGCAGTCAGACCTGCCTTTTGATTGCTTGACTTCAGTCTATCAGAACTCCCTCTTTTTTGTTGTTGTTGTTTTGTTTTGTTTCTTTCCTTCCTCCCCCCCCCCCCCCCCCCCTTTCTAAAGCATTACCTTGTATAGCAAATTCATTGCAGCCCTTTTTGAGTGCGATTTGCCAAGCGAGTATCCAAAGCACAGATTTCATTGTAAGACTAAGCCAGTTAATTGGGCTTGTGGAGGCAAGCTCGCTTTCACATGCTTCTCTTCAATGGCTGTGATTTGAACAGTTTTGTCAGCTTCCATCCAAGGATCTTGGAGCATTTACAAAGCATGAATAAATTAAAATAAGTCTCAGGAATCGTGTGTGAGGTTAGTAAATAGTAAAACTGATCTTCTAGAGGGAAGAACTATGCCATGAAGGAATTAAGTGACTCGCCTGAAGGTCTTTAGCCTCTGTGCAACTCAACTGGGGGTAAATTTCTCTTCTGTAACATTGGGTACAGCTGCCTCTGATAAACAATCACACTTATCTTGTCACAGCAGTTATGTTTAAACTAGCTTGGAGGTTTTCTATAGAACTGAAGTCTTTTTTGCTTTTGTAATCTTTCCATCTGTTTAAACTTAGTCTGCTGTGACTTGTATTTGAAAATGGTATTTACACTGCTCTTTTTAGCTAGACCGAGTTAACTTGCTGGGAGGGGAAATAGAAGCTGTTCAATCTATGAAAGAATCTTACTGATAACTGTGCTGAGAAGCCACAGTTATCTGTGCCCTGTAACCACGGTGTGATTGCCAGCAGGCCTGATTGTCAACTGTGAGGGTGCTGGCACTGGCTGTACGGGCAGGACATGCAGCAGCTAACTTTGCAGTTTGCAAGCAGTGCTAAAGTTACCTTCGTGCATATTCAACCTCTTAAATGCTAAACACCCATTCTAGCACGTGACCCTTTTGAGGAGATAGCAACAGCACTGTCCCAGGATGCAGTTTTATGACATAGCTAAGCTGATCAATCAGGCATACTGAGGGGGATGTTCCTGCTTCCCTCCCCTTTTCGCTTGGACTGATTCTTCACACCCCATAGTGAGCTAGTTTTTCCTGGAACGTTAGTTTTCATTATTTTAATTTTTCTTGCTGCCAGCTAACTGCTAGGTTGACTGAACTTTAACATGAAATCATGTCCTTGAAGACAGGCAGGAAAACTTTTTCCAGAGATAAGAACTTTTTAATTTGTATAAAGTATTCTTCCTCTTATTTGTAGGGTATTTAGATTAAATATATGCGTATACACATATCTGTTGCAATCTGGAGATTGCTGGAAATTTACAGAGGAAAATGGGAATGAGCTACGCATCTAACAGGATAGGTACATCCTCCCTGTTGCCCTGTTCAGCCTTTACAGGCTCACGTGCTGGGATGACAAGAAGGAACGCTGAAAGTGGCTTGTTGCCAGAGGCTGCATGTACCCATTCCATGGGGCAAGATTTTGGACCCTCTGCATTGTTAGGTTCTACATCAGATAGGTAGATGTGAAGAAAAGAGCTATCGGTAGAAGTAAAAGGGCCCCAAAATAAGTAAGGAGGTCAAAAAAAGACTTTTAGAAGTGAAGCCGAGAACTGGGTCACAGAAAAGATCTGAGGAGATAAGGGTTAGTATAGTAATTCATTTACATAACTGGCCACTAGAACTGACTTTCACGTGAGTACAGCATGTACAGGAGATGTTCCTGGTGAGTCCAGCGTAGTTTTTACATGTTCACACCATATTGTTCAACGCTAGCACTAGACCTCGACTGTTGCAGTAGTCTCAGTGGGAGGGCTGAAGAGCCCGAGCTCTAGAAGGCTTTAAGCAAGTAGAGAGTGTCCTTGTGCATCTAAGAGTCTGCTTTCTGAAGTTTAAGTGCAGTTTAAGTTACGTAAATAGCCTGTCTGCTTTGCAGTGAATGGGCAATAACCTGTAAATTTAACTCCCATTGTACGGTAAAGCTGGGATTTAGCTGAAGTCTTGGGACCCATCTTGCAGGCAGATTATTTTATTGCATGGCAGTGACTTGTAAAAATGTAACCTATGGCCAGTTTCCAATACGAATGAATTATAATGAAATTATTTTTTCCATATTGTGATTTTAACCCTGTTCTTTACATGTCTGCAGATTTGATTTCATCCTAGATAATGTTGGTGGATCCACTGAGAAGTGGGCTCTAGATCTCCTGAAGAAATGGTCAGGAGCAACGTACGTTACCTTAGTGACACCTTTCCTGATCAATATGGACAAACTTGGAGTGGCTGATGGCATGTTACAAACAGGAGTCACTGTTGGTTCCAAAACTTTAAAGGTATTTGACAAAATCCTATGTACTTTAGTATTATGTAGTACCCTGGTGGCTTCCTTTGTGGCTTGGATGCTAGTCATGTGGCTCATCTAGAGGCATCTGTTGTATTTTCCTCACTCTACATTAAGTGTACTTCAGATGCCTTTTTCTTCTTTCTTTTTTTCTTGCACTGAAAAAAAAAAGAAAAGGTTGGGGTGGTGCTGATTGGTGTATGTGGTAGTTCTGGGTGCTTTGAAGTTCTGATTCATTATTGTGGTTTTCATTGTGGCCTTTTCCATATGGCCTCCCTAGTGAGTCCTGCTGACAGCTAGTGTTTCATAGTAAACAGAGCAAATCCCTGCCTCATTGAAGTGAGGGTAATTTTGCTACTTGCTTTAGGCTGGTCAGGCTTTCTCTCAAAACATTGTTCCATGACTGATTCTCTTCATCCCGTTCCAGTGCCAGAGAGTAATAAAAGTGGTTGAGGGTGGCTGGAAAGTCTTTCATCTCTTTCATGTTCATGTGTCTGGATGGTGATACTGATTTTTCTAGTTTTCATGAGTGGATCTTAAAATGTTCTGCCAGTGGCCAGATCAGTGAGGCTTTTTAGAACTTTTCTCTTTCTTCTCTCAACATGCCTGCTTGCTCTCCAAATGAATGCTTTTCAAGCAGTTGCTATGGTATTCCTGTGATGGCATGGTTGAATGAGATTCTAAGTCCTATACCAATACTTTCAAAGGAAAGCTCAAAAATCAAATGAAAAGACTGGGAAGAAATAATGTAATACTATTTCTCGGTGTTCATGTTTCCATGATGAGGAGCACTGTATGCCATGTATTAAAAATCATCTCTCTTTGGCAGAGGATGGCTCTTATTCCTGTAATGACTTACGCAGAGGACGTGCTCTTGACTTGTGAGATCTTCCCAAAGTGCTTTTCACGTGAGCTGCCATCTGCCATTGGATGGTGATGACTTTGGCAGATGCGATGATGGAAAATTTAATCACTGACACTGAGGTGGAAGGCTCTAAATGTCACATTGCTGGGTTTATTTCACCCCCTTTGTGACTCTGTGACACCATTTCTCTTACATAACAAATAATGCTATTTCTAGCTGTAGAGACGAGGTAGTTGTTTTTTTTTAACTAGCTGACTTGTGCAACTGGACACAAAATTCACCCTGGTCCTGTTGTAGTAATACAACATCCCTGCCTGTGCATTTAATCCACGTGCTTAGGTGACATTATTTTCAGACACGAGCATATAATTTCCATGTCTTTTCCTTAAGTTACTTCTCTAGTGCTTCTGTCATTAGTGTTAGTTCCAATTTTAGTTTCCTCTCATGATTTTTAAATATATTTGTGATTTTCTTGCAGCATCTCTTTAAAGGAGTCCATTATCGGTGGGCATTTTTTATGCCAAGTGGCCCAAGTTTGGATGAAATAGCAGAACTAGTTGATTCTGGAAAGGTATGTCAGTAATGGTTATTTGGGTATGTGTGCTGAAAGAGGTGTTGCTGAGACTCAAAAATGGTGTAGTTCACAATTGGGGAGTGAAACGTTATGAGAGTCACAGTGAGGAAAACTAGTTCCGAACTAATGTGCTTCAATTTCTAACTTTTGCCCTTTGCAGAGAATTCAGGAGTTCATAATCCCTAGGCCTGTTCTGATTTCTCCCTCTCCACCCTACTTGTATTTAAAAACACAAAGCTGACTAAGTTATGGGGAAAGAATGTCCAGTGACTGTTTATTTTTGCCACTGGGAATCGTCTAGCATGAACTCTGGTGTTGAAAATGGTATGTTTGAAGAAGCCTCATTTGGTTCATTTGGTCAGAATTAGCATATGCAAAATTTCTTAGCCTGGATGATCAGGAGTCCAGCCCCTCATATGCAGAGAGCTAGGATATTATTGCAGGTCATAGACGATCTGCATTGGCAGAGTGGTGAACAAGAATCTTGCATTTCATTGTTTCATTGCCTCAGAGTATAATGTTTGTACTAATTCAGCACAGTGACTTGGAATACCGTAAGCATTCGTCAGCTTTCAGGGAATCTCTTAGTGGACTTGGGAGAAAGGCATCAGGTGGCAGATAGATTACTGCTTTTCTGATCTTTTCAGGTTTATGAGCTTGTGTGTGACAGTGGGCAGTTGATTGCCCATTTATTGGACTGCGTGGTGCTGTAGGTCCTGGCAATGTTCTCTTTTGGATAATTTCACGTTGCCAAAATTCTCAGAGTAGAGAATATGGACAACTGCTGTTAATCTTTCTGTGTGGTACCTAAGCAGAAGAGGAAGCAGAGCCTGTGATGACTGCTGGCAATTCCAGTATGTGAACTGTCAGGCCATCTTGTGCTCAAAATTTGTGCATATTAGTAAAATTTAGATCTCTGAAATTCTGAGTGTTGATCTCCTTTCTTTGCTATGCACTATGTTCCAGAGTTTGGAGAAGAGTAAATAAATTGCTGTCGTACTTAAGGCCTGATTGTTTCTATTTGCCACCTCAGTGCTGCTGCTCAGAATAAAAATATTCCTGAATTCAGCCACTGCTACTCCTCTGTCATGACCAGTGTGCTGCTGACACAACCAGTGCAAAGTTCGTGTTTCTGAAAGTTACCTACTCAGAAAGAGAGGCTGCAGCAGCAAATAAGCTGTGGTGAAGTGTGTTCCTGTCTACAGCTTTGCACCACTCAGTTTTGCATAACGTCCAGTGCTGTAGGCATTATCCCATGGTCAAGAAAGAAACCCTAGAAGATTATTCTCATCCTGTGATTGCATCCAATCACAGTACTAAATGATAATCGTCTGAGAAACAGAAATGCCCTTGTCTTTGTTCTTACCGTTTGTCCTGATTCTTAGCCAGTCACAAATTGTTTTGGGTTCTGCTCCTACCTTGTATGCAAAACAAATGCAGAATATGCCCATGAAAGCCTCTTGGGAGACACCTGTTTATGCAGCAGAGATAGGGCTTAACCGGTGTTCTCTGCCTAATAAACTGGACAGGTGAATTGTCATGCCATTTCAAATGCACGTCATACAAATATGAATGTCCCGATGTACTTTTTGTTGTAAGGTGATCGTGAGGACAAAGATGTTTGCTTGGTCTCTTATTCTCCATGCAAAACCAGGTCATAATGTCAGACTGTTTATCTGCATAGTCATTATTCAAGCAGCATTTTACTCTTATTTTGTAAAATGCTGTAAACACCCATGCTATCATCAGTATTTTATCAGACCCAGATGTGTTCCATTTAGACAGATGTTAATAAGACTATGACCTTTATTGTCTAGACACAAGAGTTCTCTTAAATGAGCAGATTGTCCATTCAGAAGAGTAGGTGTTTGGAAAAAAGGCAGGAGAGGATTCCTAGAGGAAGTGTACCATAGTTTCCCACAACGCAGTGAAAAGAAATGAAGAGGAGACAATAAATGAGAATTTAAAAAAAAAACCAAAAACAAAACAGCCACTAAGCAATGAAAGTGTAGCAAGAAGACCTGGGGAAGCCAGGAAAGTGAGTTCATGTAGTTGAACTTCTTAGTTTTGAGTGATGCAGATTGATTATTTTGAAATCTCAGTGAATTGTCTTTTCTGTTACAAACATCTTAATTTTGAGATTGTATGGAGTGTGAATAGGAGAGCAATTAGAGAGCTCCTGAAGGTGCGAGGCTTTTTTCAGGAAAGTATAAATCATGAGGGGGGATTTAAATGAAGGAAATTAAAAAGAGCTGGTGGTTTAAAGAGACAGTGTCAGAGTAAGTGAAGCTTTGAAGAGCATACCCCTGAAGCAGTTACAGTGCATACTGATTTGTCAGTGTCTCTTAGTCCTTTTGCACCGGTTCGGATTTTTAGTTCTGATGGGTTCATATCTTCCTTTGTGAAAACAAAAGGATTCTTAGTCCTTCAGTGAGGGGAGAATAAGCAAAAAGGGCATTTTGTTTAAGGATGCTTGGTTTTCACATGGTTGATCTTTGTAGCAAGGAATAGAGATGTGCAAAACGTTAGCCATGAGAAGTTCTTTCAACAGCCTTTTTTAATAGGGAGGAGAAGGAAAGCAATTTGATGAGGTGGTGGTGCAAGGAAGGAGAATAATTTTCCTTTTGTAATTCACCTGCACATCAGCTCAGTTCTGGGGATTGTAAAATCATTTTCAGTTTATGAGCTGTTTTCTCTGCTTTGCAGCTGGACATCTTGCAAAGAGACTATTGTGAGACTGAGGGGCTGGGAGCCTGCTGCAACAGTAGTGGGCACAGAGAAAATCAAGTATTTCCTTGTCAAATTTTAGAGATGGTGGCTGCTTTAGAGACAGTGGGGAGTGCCTGCTGTGGGTTGAACTCCTCTAGTTAATTATGAGCTAGTAAGGACTGGCTTAACGTGGGCTTCACCAAACGAGTTGATGAAGCACATGTCAGAAGCGGGCGATGTCCTTCCATGGCAGAGCATTCCTGATGAATTACACGGCTCTCATCTAAAGACAATTGAAAAATCAACAGAGCTTTTAGTTCAGGACACAGATCTGCTGGCACTCTTGGTTGAAGAATCGTCACTGAAAGGCTTGTTAGGAATTAGTTTGATGTATTTGTAGTCCGTGTTGTGGATTTAACATTAACAGTCTTGGGGTTTGCTGCTTGCTTAACTTTTTCCGCCTTTCTACGGATGCGCCGTTTAGTCATTGCTAAAAATATACCAAACTCATGTAACTATGTAAGTTTGTAGAAAGCCTCTAATTTAGAATTGAGCACTTGCTTTGCCTTTTATAAAGCCTGATGGAGGAAGGCAGGCTCGAAAGACTCCTTAGTGTCGTAAGGGGGAGCATTAAGTATGTCGTATGTTCCTGCTGGACCACGATAGGATGTGGGCTAACATGCAGCCCTGCAGGAATTTGAAATTTTCATTTTAATTCAGTGCCATTTAAATGCAGTGCAGGTGTGTGTGCAGTATTTCTGGTGGCTTAATACTCTTTCGTTCGGAGCAGAGTTGCATCAGAGGGGCTGCTGGGTGAAAGCTGATTCTGCAGAAGGGCAGACTAAAGGACAAGTAGAGTCTCCAATTATGGAATGAATAGATCATTCCCTGTGTTGTTTGCTTTCTAGATAAATGTTATAGCACAGGCACACATAAGAAAAACAATTGCATGCCTACATTGATGTACTTTGTGCGTAGTGTTGATTATACATTTTGCTGAAGACACTAGATGGTCTGGACTTAGCACCTGCTGTTGTTGTTTGGAGGACAGGATGCTGCTGACTGTTCTTTGGCCTTGCTGCTCTCTTCCTGTGCAATGCTGTGCAAATCACATAACCTTTTGCTACCGTAATTCCTCTATCTACTAATAAGGGCTCATGCCCTTTATCCACCTTCGGTGATTTGCCGTGAGATACCCTGTTAAAATGCGGAATTCAGTTGTTTTCTGTTGCTAGTCTTGCTATTCAGGAAGTAACTAACATAAATGGATATGGTCATGCACTTTGATATTACTTGGGTTTTGGGTTGTTTGGATGGCCGTGGTTTAAGGTGGCTTACATTCCTCCTGCTAGCACAGGTTATCACAGCTTCTTGACTCTGTGTCCTAACCGGTGCGTATTGATTTGCTTCCAGTTCGTCTTGCTACAGTTCTGCAAGTGACTTTTTCTCTGGCCCTCGTTGCACAATTGTTCCAGATTTCTCTCATCCGTATCAATATCAAACAGCTAATGTAACATACTGAGTCCTTGAACGTTCTCCAAATCTGGCACCTCTAGATGTGGCCTTCCCTGCAGTAATTCCAGTCTTTGTCTTTATGGCTTTGCTGAGTAACTTAAGGTACCTGAGGTGACTCGCCCTTGGCTGGTACCTACAAAGAGTAGCAATTCTGTACTTAAATGTCTAAATTGACTAGAGATCAGTCCTTCTACCCATTCTCTTTAGCCACTCACACTTGTTCTGATGACCATCTTTCTCCATGCTAAATACCAAAGCTTGCACTTTCTTTTTTTTTTTTTTTGAATTTTGTGGTTTTTTGATGCAGTGCTTTTGCTTGCCAGGTTGGTTGGCCACAGCCCAGAGATGTTGATCAAGAAGAGGTTGCCAAAAGCTCTGTTCAGTCCTTTCTATTCCAAGAGGAACCTCTATCTGCATTTTGTCATGGCCACCAAAAACCCCACTGTAATTTTTATTGAAACACATCTGCTCCTCTTCCTCCAGGACATGGTAGCTTGCTTCTGCGCTGTGTGAAAGTGCTGTGTGGTTACATCTGTGAAGATGACTCCTGGAAATTTTGCATACTGTGGAGAGATAGGGTTTGAATATGTAAATCCATGTAAACCATAACAAGGTCTGGAAAAATTTCATCACATATCACATATTTAATCAAATGTGTTGCCTCAGCCTGATGTAGTTGCATATTCTGTAGAAAGACAGTCCAAGTGTTGTGAGCTCAAGGCCCCTAGCGTAGGAGAGAATTATGTCCAGCACAGCGGTGATATGTGGAGTCA